CTCTGTACCCCTACTCCCAGATTGGTTCAGCACCCTTCTAGTTTCCCACAGTACGGCAGCATTTAACATACTGTTTCAGGAGGAACTGACAACCCAACCTCCAGCTCTCGGGGGCCCACACCCTTCTATCAGAGACACAATAACAAAGGAAGTTGATGTTGCTGTCTTTGGGCAACCAAGGAAGAACCATTTAAAAATAGCATGGGTCAGGGAAAGCTGCCAGGACCTGGGGGTACTTTGATCCTGCCTCTCCCTCTGTTAGAATTGGAGTGAAGTGTCAATTCTCCTACCACATCTTACAGAGAACGGCGTTTTATGTGGGATTGTTAACTTCAGCACTAAAGTGGAATTAGTTTTTATTCCAAATACTGCTTGAATAGCTCTTCATTTATTCATAAAGTTTTGTATTTGCAGCCCTACCTCAATTTCTCTGTCTCTTCAATAGCCATTGTTGCTCTGTGGTTCTTGATTAATTAAATGCCTTCTTTAAGGTTTAGACCAAGTCATTAGTATCTTCTTGCCTGGTCACCTGACAATGCATTTCCCTTCTTTGTCGGTAATTGGGAAACCGTTAAAATCATCCACACATTTCCCCCCACAGTTTCAAGCTTGGTCACATCTGTTGCTTTGATGCATTGGGACACTGCGCAGTATATGGCTGAATTCATGTTAAGTGAACTGCAGTGCTCCCATGTCATTGTCTCTTCACTGTTGTATCTCCAGCGGGTGAGCCAGGGAAGCTTTCACAGTGAGGTGACTTTGAAGGCTTGGTAGGGGTCTGTCTGGTGAAACGCGGGGTGCAGAGTCAGAGGCATATGCCAAGGCGGGGAAACATGAAAGAGCTTATGATTGAAGTACAGTCAAAAGTTCAGTGTGATTAGAGTGTAAGGGTGGGCTATTAGGGACTTTGTATGCCACATTACTAAATCTGTGGGAAGCGCAGTTTCTTCTTCTATTATAATGGGGATAGGACCCGCCTCCAGGGCCGTTCTGAGAACTAGTGGGCAATGCTGCGAAAGCACCTAGTGCAGGCTTGGTACATAGAGAAGCCACATTAATCTGAGTTTCCTTTCCTGCTTTCCTCCTTAAGAGTTTAGGTTTTATCCTATATGCAGGAGTGATATTTAAAATATTTAACCGCCCTTACAACCCAGGTACCACCTAGTCAAAACAGATGTCACAACCAGCCAGCTGAGGGGAATTCTTTTCAGGGGATCAAGTGAAGGAAAGCACTGAAGCAGGAAGATCCAACTACTCTGGCAAAAGCTCGGTCCTTAATGTTCCCTAGGATTTTATCCACGTGTAGTCTATAATGATCCACTTCATCAAAGAAGCTAATTTTACTTGTATTTGTGGACACACTGTTATGTGGCTGGCCTCAATGCCACCCGAAAGACAACTGAACTGGAAGGGAAGGGAACTGTCATGCTAAGATTTTATGTATCTCTTTTGATCCTCACCCAATCTTGGGAGGTAAGGTATCATTAGATGCATTTTATTATTGTGGAAACTGAGGCTTTGGTTGTTGGCTGATTCCTCAGGTGGTAAGAGGCTTCTAGCCTAGGTCCATATTGCTCCAAAGTATGCTGTTTTCTGTCACTCTGGGGTTCCAGAATCCTTCTCGTCTTCGGTTTAAGCTTCAAAGACACTTATCATTTCTCACTCACCCATCCAGCCACCCAACCCATGTTCAAGGAAAACAACTCGAAAGGTATGTTTTTATTTCACACACAAAAAAATGTGACATGCAGTTCCCATCCCCTAACTGCTCTTGGAATACAGAGTAAAAAGGAAATCGGATCAGTCTTGATGAGACAAAATTTTGGTTTCACAAAGCTGAAAAATCCATTACAGTCTCTGTTGTATAAATATAGTCAGTCTTATCTTTAATGTAAAGTCAGACAAAAAAAAAAAAAAGCTTTGTTGGCCTAAGAAATCCCCTGGTCCTTGAAAACACCACAATCTTCATTTGTATTCCCAGCCAAGCACAGGTGGCGCCTACATGATGAGAGTTATTTGTGTGTCCTAGGACTCTAGGTAAACAAATGGGATTTAAATAGTTTATCTACTGAGCCCACACTTCCTCCCCCAGTAGCTTGTGCAAACCACCATAGCCTAAGTTTAAGGGCTAAAGGCTTTTCCAATATAAAACCTAACATATGACTGTTCTAAAATTGATTATAGTGATGGATGCACAATTCTGTGAATACACTAAAATCCACTGAATTGTACATTTATTTTTTTTTTATAATTTTTATTTATTTATTTTTTTCCCCCCAAAGCCCCAGTAGATAGTTGTATGTCATAGTTGCACATCCTTCTAGTTGCTGTATGTGGGACACGGCCTCAGCATGGCCGGAGAAGCGGTGGGTCGGTGCGTGCCCGGGATCCGAAGCCGGGCCGCCAGTAGCGGAGCGCGTGCACTTAACCGCTAAGCCACGAGGCCGGCCCAAATTGTACATTTAAAATGAGCAAATTGAGGCCAGCCCAGTAGTGTAGTGGTTGGGTTCATGTGCTCTGCTTTGGTTGCCCAGGGTTCTCAGGTTTGGATCCTGGGCACGGACCTATGCACCACTTATCAAGCCATGCTGTGGCAGGCGTCCCACATATAAAGTAGAGGAAGATGGGCACGGATGTTAGCCCACGGCCAATCTTCCTCAGCAAAAAGAGGAGGATTGGCAATGGATGTTAGCTCAGGGCTAATCTTCCTCACAAAAAGAAAGAAATAAAAAAATAAAATAAAATGAGCAAATTGTATAGGATGTGAATTATCTCTCTCTAATAGAGCTGTTAAAAAATATCTAACGTGTGTCTAAGTTGCTAAAGGAGCAACAGGTGACCCTGATAGCATAACACAGGAGTTCCTGGCCGGACACGGGGAAGATCTGTAGAAGTTGGTACACTAAGGGACAGTAAAAGGGAAATCCTTCAAGTATTATTGGAGTTTGAGGTTGCTCTGGGGACATTCAGTTTTAAGATGTCAGAATAAAGTCAACAGGGTATGTACTTTCTCCTACTCCTTCCAGAATAGTCTAAGGACCTTCTGTGGCCTTTGTCACAAAAGAAAGTTATTCAGTGGGAAAGCAGATACCCAAGGTGTTGCTGAGACTACAGGAAATTTCAGACTGGAGCTCACGAGCTCACTATCTGCATCCGTTGGGAGGAATTCCCACATGGCCACAGGTTCTGAGAGCCTGACTCCCACATGAGGAGAGAGAATTCGGATATCAAAGAAAATCTTCTAGATTTATTGAACCAGAGGGACTGCCTGCCTGCAGTGATCTGTTGTTGGCCAGAAGTCACAGCAGGGCTCCAGTTCTCCCTGACCCTTTTACAAGACCATTGCCAGGGCAGCAATTGCTAATCAGATCAGCAAACCATTTTGTGGCAGACAAACCACTTAGAAATGCCATCTCCATTCTATACCTACCATCTGGTCACCAAATGGCCGTTTGAGAAGGGAGACAGGCTAAAACCATGGGCCACTGGGCCCTTGACCACGAGATAGTCATTCTAGGCAGATAGTGAGGGAGAATTGCCAGTAGTTGAAAGAAAAAGAGAATTTAAACTCTCGCTTTGGTTTTACTGTTCTAGTTACTTAAAGTTCATCGATTATATCTGGTGTAAAAGTGGAGAAAATGGGCACAGAGGACACTCGCTTTACTCACCTTTCAAAAGGGTGCTGCCAGAAATTGGGGCCAGAAGTCTTTTTACTTTTTAGCACACAAAGGAAATGAGAACAGGAAAAAGGGAAGGACAGGGGCTTGACAGTGCAAAGTGTCCCAATTTGGTGAACACCTTGTTCACTCCCCTAGTCTTTCCTCCTTGAAGCCTGATCTGATTCTGCTGCTGGGTTATGGGCTGGGAGTCAATTCGTTTTTTGGCCAGCCTAGAAGCTGTTTATTCTGTGGCTGAGCAGGTGAGGTAAGCTTAGAAGCAGACATCACGGCCACCTCAGGTCCATCCCATTGTGGGCTGGATCCCTAGTAAGGCCCCATTAAAACTTTGGCCTCCTTGTGTTCTTTCAAAATATGACACCCCCAAGGCTGGCACCGTGGCATAGTGGTTGGGTGTGCACTCTCCACTGCTGGCGGCCCGGGTTCGGATCCTGGGCGCGCACCAACGCACCGCTTGTCAGGCCATGCTGTGGTGGCGTCCCACGTAAAGTGGAGGAAGATAGGCACGGATGTTGGCTCAGGGCCAGTCTTCCTCAGCAAAAAGGAGGAGGATTGGCACGGATGTTAGCTCAGGGCTGATCTTCCTCACACACACACACACAAAAATATGACACCCCTGTTCCGTGACATGGCCCAAGCCTCTAAGAATGGGGACTCAAGGATGGGGAATTTTCCTTACTGGCAGGGTTTGTCATCTCTGTGTGTAAAAGCAGGTAGAGAATGACATTAGAACATCAGAGTTTGGGGCTTACTTGGTTCCCTTTAGTGTCACAGGGAGATAGTGGGAGGTGAAAAAAAAGAAACAAAGAAAATGAGGAGGAGAGCTCCACTAGGGCTTTGGGCTTTTTCTTGATGAACTTTTTCCTTTGGCTCCAGGGGAATATTTATCACTTACTTAAGAAAAGGGAATGAACGGCCTAGTTTAAAAAATGAAACAAAATAAAAGCTTCCTTACTGCCTTTCTTTATGCTTATCAAGCCTTTTCTTACTCAGGCCTTACTCAGCTGGCCCTCGGCCTATCCATTACACTCAGTTTGAGCTGGTTATCCAGGAGAGATGAATCCAGGCTGCCATGAAGATGGTCCCCCAGGGGACGCCAAGACCCTCCTCACCCAGCCTCTCTCCTAGAGAGATCATGAGCTGAGGGCATTTGATCAGAGAAACTCCCAGCTGCTCTGCCCTTCAATAAGAGGACAGAGGAAGTAGTTTCTATATTTAGGAAGAGAGAAATATTTTCATTCCAGAGTTGTAAGAATTACGAGCAGATGAAGCTATGGCTCCGGTAGCTGAACAATTTTGAGAAACAAGAATCAAGCAAGGGAGTAATATACAAACAAAGTGTGGGTGTATTTGGCAGGTTTGAGGCAAGCAGAAAGGAGAGTTTGGGTACTCTATAAAAAAACAAAAATCTGAAATTCAAACTTCTGATAAGGCCACAATGAAGAGATTTCCAGCAGTGCGTGTTGCAGGAAGCTGGCACCCAAATCGCCACAGGCTTGCAAGGTGTTGTGCCAAGGTGAGGAGGCAGGCGAGGCAGGGTGCCTCTCACAGGTCCATGTCTGGGCCTCCTGAGGATGTCTTCAGTGGCACCGAGTCAAATCCGTCAGGAGTCCTCTGAAAGAGAGATGGTGACAGGAGCTGGCCGCTGCACAGGGGCAAGCGTGGGGAACAAAGGACAGAAATGGAGAATAGGTGACAGAAGGAACCCTTATGGAATTCCTGCTCTCAGTGGCTTTGTGGAAACACAGACATAAGATACCCTCTATTCTTCTTGCTCCCTTCAGTCAGTCGGAGGATAAGAAAAATCTTTAAAACCCCTGCTTTGCATCTTTGCTGATGCCAAGACTTGAGGGTCCCAGGGTGAATTGTTCTCCCATAGGTAAAAAAAATCAAGGTCTAAGGAGGGCAAGGGAGTCACCCTGCTAGGTCAGCACCAAGGGAATGAGATTCAGCCATCTAAGCACCTACCTGCCTTCCTTTCCTCACCATCCCTCAGTCCTCTCCTCCCTCTTACCTTCCTCCCCACCCACACCTGTTTGGATGAACTGGTTCAGGGTGGCAGTGAGGTGTGGGTGCTGGCAGAGAGGGGCTGTGGAGGGCTGTGGCCCTGGAGGAGCTGCTTGGATGCTCTTTGCTGGCCCCATGGCCAGCGACAGTGATGTCTGTATTGCATTCATGAGCTTCATACTCACTCACCCACCTACACAGAGCCAACTCTCCCAGCTCAGAATTGCTCAGTGTTGAACGCCTTAGACTTAGCTATGACTCAGCCCCTAAAGGATGGGGCCCAGACATCTGGGGGATGGCACCCTCCAGTGGTCAAAAGAGAGCCTCACTTCTATCAGAAGTTGAACCTACAGATCACCTCATCCCCTCCCTCCAAAAAAAAAGGGAAATGATTCTTACAACATGGTTGGTTCAGTACTCCTTCTGGAAGTTAAAAGGCCCAAACAGTCCATCAACTGGAGTGCATGTTGGGAGAGAAGGAGCCTGGTCAAGAGCAGCCCTGGGCCCCAGGGGAAAGAGTATTGGTGTGGAAATACAGAGGGCAGAAGCCAGGATTTTCAGGGTGGGGGGACAGAATAGTCTGGAGGGTGGGGAGCAGAGTAGTGGTCCCTGAACAGTGTGAGGCCATTCAGGGTCCTAGGACTGGTGTCTTCGCCAGCCCTCCAGGCTGACCTCAGTGCACTGGCCAGGCTTCCTACCTTGGAGGTAAACGATTTGATCTTCCCAAAGAGTGACTTCTTGCTGGTAAAGATGAGGTCATCCTCCACGTCCTCGCCTTCCATAATGGCACAGCTGTCGGCTGCTGGCAGGTCACAGTCCTTGAGGGTGGCATTCATCACCAGCTTGGAGTACTTGTACTCTAGTCTGTGAAACAGGGAATGGGAAAGACAAGACACCAAAGTGTGGAATAAGAGGAAAACAAGGGGCCAGCCCCAGCGGCCATGCTGTGGTGGCAACCCATATACAAAATAAAGGAAGATTGGCATAGATATTAGCTCAGGGCGAATCTTCCTCAAGCAAAAAAAGGAAGATTGGCAACAGATGTTAGCTCAGGGCAAATCGTCCTCAGGAAAAAAAAAAAAAAAAGAGGAAAAGAGGGAGAGAGGCTGGGCTATAAACAGATATTCCCATACCATGGCTAGAAACTGAAGCATAGCAAAAGGGTGTTGGGCTGGGCATAGAGCCAAGGAATCTTGGCTCTTGGGTCAGTGATCTTGTTTCCTTAAAGCTGGCTGTTTCTGTGATCTCAAAGCTTAATAGAAATATTGGAATTGTAAAGTCATTATTATTATTATTAATAATAACAAATCAAGGATACTCTTTGCTTTTCTTTTGAGAATCTAACAGCCATTTGTAGACTGCCATGTGGTACCATCCCTGTTCAGCAGGCAGGATAACCAAGGCATACACTGGATAAGTGGCTCAACAAGTGGCCAGAGTCACGGGGTCTGTGGCCAACTCCAGAGAAAAGCCCCATGAATTTATACTCTCAGATGTCCTCCTCCTGGCTCAGTGATCCCACCCTGTCCCTCCCCAAACTCCAATACCCCATCGTGTACTTTTGATTCTTTTTCCAAAAGTAACAGGTCAAGACGGTGAGCAGGATGGCAGTACAGGTGCCTGCAGAGATGCCTACTTTCAGCCAGAAATCTATCGTTTTGCAGATGGTGACTCTCTGCTCAGGCAGGGAGATGCCACCTGTGCATAGCTTTGGTTCTCGCCACACGTAAGTAGTCTTCTGTTGGGGAGAAAAACAAGGAACTCAGAGATCACATTCCTTTCTCTCCTGGGAAATCCCCAAGCAGAGAAACCTACCTGGATCCCAGCCACACAGCTGCTGACGATAGTGTGGTAGTCAGCAGCCGAGCAGAGCGGGCAAGCGGCCACACTCTCCCACAGGAAGTGGAAGTTACAGCCATCACAGGTCCCATCAGAGCATGTTCTGGCAAAGCAGAAAGGAGACCTGAGTGCTCACTTGCTGGACCGGAGGGGAAGATCTGGTTGGAATCCTGTCATCTCATAGCTTGCCTGATCCATCTTCTCCTTGCCAAACTGTTAGCTCCACCAGGATCCTTCCATCTAGTCTTTAACACAGGCTTCACTCTCCAATTTCCCTGATGATAAGAGGCCTTTCCAACCTCCACCAGGCTCCCCACCCTCTGCCCGTTTGCTTCTGCTGACATCAGATGAGAGCTAATGTAAGGTGTCTGAGCTCTAGCATGGCTGCCCAACCAAGCCCTCAAAGGCTCCTGTTCTCCCCATTGACATGTGACACTTTGCCAAAGCCATTTTGATGCATCTTCCCGGGGGTGGGGTTCAGGAATGGACTTCAGGTCATGGATATCTGTTATGTACTTTACTGTGATGTTTACAACACAAACAATGATTTTACATTTTGACACCACTGCTGGGTCAGACTGTCCTGCTTTGCTCCCCATCTCCCCGATCAGTTGTTGTTCAGGAGCTGCATCTCCCAGCCCATCTTCCTCAAGATACCAGTGCCCCTCATGATGTTAGTGGGTGTTATGTGGGGGAAAAAAAAGGAGGTGGGGGGAGGGGTACTGAAATAAAATTAGTTTGGGAATTCTCGATTTAGTGCACTCAGCTATTAAACTCAGACTTGGGTCTTTTAGTTGTGGAGAGAGTCCTAGGAGTCCCTAAACCTTTACCAATCCTAATAATAGCAAGTACATGCCAGACACCCTGAGAAGTCCTCAAGTCTCATTGTCTCATTTATCCTTTCAATAAGTTCTCTGAGAGAACTTATTATTATCTGAATTTATAGATAAGAAAAAAGAAGAGATAAGATAAGAAATAGAGAAGATAAGAAATGTATCCATGATAACATAGCTAGTAAGTGGAGGAGGTTAATGAAATCTGGCTCTCTGCCCCAGCAGTTAGCCACTTTGCTGTGCAGCTGCCCCTGTAATGGTCTGGGAATGTGAAGGTAGCTTTGACTATTCCTGCTGCCTCATTCTTGACATCTGAAGATTGAGGGTTTGGAGCCATAACTGTGTCCCTAAGAGCTCACTGATGGATCTCACACTGTTTTCTCTTTTGCTCTTTTTCAGTAATCTTTGGCTCTTGGGATTGGAATGAGTCCAAGGAAGGGAGACTTTGTTACATCCCTTTACCTTGGCAGCGACAGACTTCCAGGGACAGATTTTAGTGGACTGCATCTGATGCGGATGGTGGTTGATCTCCCAGAACTGCAGGACTGGGTCACATCATTGGACCTGCAGAGAAAGCCAGCCCCAGGGGGAATGAGTCAGTCATCTGTGCCATTGGAGAGCCACTAAGTGAAGTCAACATGGAATGAATGATTCCCTTGCTGGGGAAGTCAGGACTTGGGCTCTAGCCTGACACACAAGAGTGCATAGGCCTTGGTTTATACATGGACAGAGTGGGGATCAGGGAGATCTGGTCAAGGGGAAATGCACTGGTCTAGGAAAGGTTAGCATGTATATAACACTGGAGTCTCCTTGGGCGGGAAGGGAAGTCGGCCACAGACCATATTTCTCCCTGCCTCCAGGGGCAGACCTGCCCCAGTACTACCCAAGCAGCTGGGATCAGGGAACTCCCAGCCTTTAGCTGTCATTGCTGGGCAGATCTGCTAGACCTTGGTTGTGTTCTGGCTTGATAAGTATAGGTGGCTAGAGAGGGAGGGATGCAGCAGAAATTGTGGAGGAGCCCTAGGTTTCACTCGCATTAGCCTGGCCTCTCATCTTCACCTATAAAAGAAGATCACGTCCGGTATTCCCAAGGACTCCGGGTGGAAAAGGTCAGCTGGGGAGGTGATTCCATCCAGAGTCATATCTGTTGTCACCCCTGCCAAATTAGAGCTCCTAATTAGTTCCTACTAGCAGCATTCACTGGCAATCACTTCAATTCTTTTAATACCAGTCCACATACAACCTTCCTTCATCTCATCACATGCCCAGGTGGCTCATGGAAGGGTGAACCAAAGGTCTGTCAGAGACCCCAGGGGCACTTGGTACCCAGGATGGAATAGAAAACAGAGGTCAAGAGGTTGGGCCCCTCATCTGGGGCCTTTTACCTGGGAGCCTGGTAGCCTCACTCTCTCGTACACACATACAAGCTCAAACAGGCTGGAGCAGCTGGGTTACTCACCGATAAGTCGATCAGCGAGGCTGACAGGCTGCGAGGACACCCTGGCCTTGTAGCCTGTCACCTCTGGGGGAATGATGACCGCCTGGCAGATGTAGGCTGTGATGGACTTGGAGAAACCTGACTCACCCTCAGGAATCCGGAGGTCAGTGACATTGTCGGTGCACACGGCCATTTTCTTACCCTGGGCAGGGGGATGTGGGAAGGAAGAAGTGGGAAGGAGTGAGTGGTCACAGAAGAACTCCCAAAAGGGAACAGGGAATAGTTTTTCACATCCAAAACTTCAACCTTCCAATGATATGTTGCAGTGGAATGATTCATCCCAGTTCTAATTACAAGACAGGTTAAAAAAAAAGAATAGCTAAGAATAAGACCTAGGTGTCCTAGTTTCTGGAACTCTGGCCCAGAGATCCTCAGTCTTTTTGTTTCCTTGGAGTCACCTGGGAGCCCTACATGAGCAGGTTGTGATGGTGGCATTTGGAGATCTAATCTACCAGCCCATAGGTTAAGGGACTTCCTTATCCTAGTCTTCTAGGCCGATACTGAAATATGTAACTGACCCCATGAAATTTCTTTGAACGTCTGGCCTGGTTCATATTCCCCTTCTGTGTCTCCCTTGGTGCTGTGATTCTACCATGCTTGTCTTGGAAGCACTTTACAGACGGAGACTCTCAGGGGTTAAAACAGACCCCATAGCCAGCCCCTTCCCTGCCTTGGGGTAGGATATCTTAGGACCAATTGGAACCTATTCCATTAAAAAAAATTTTATCAAGAGAAGAAAGTTTCCTTCTCCTCCAGTCTTTAACAACCCACACTGTACAGAACTCTGGAAGACAGCAGGAATTGAGACTCCTTCTTCCTCAAGATTTCATAATAGAAGAAATATTGAGATATTGGTCCTTCAAAAATGTTTATGGAATATCAATATATAACATGTTTGCTAATATAAAATCATTTGTTCAATATTGTAAGTGGACTAAGATTTAAAATATAGGATTTTCAATGTCATAAATTTTATTACAAATGGAGCTAAATTGCTAAATCTGGTACCTCAGTTTATTTTAGATTGTAATTTCTAGATTTTAAGAAATAAAGAACATGAGAACAGGAAGAAACCTTCACATCATAATAAAACAAAGAGTTATTTTGTCTTTGAACTGAAGGTCCATAGTGTGACAGTACACAGTAGGCATTTCTGAAAAGAAAGGAGCAAAGCAAAAAGAAAAGACACAAACTCTTGAAATTCCCCATCTTCATCTCTCTCCCCACTCACTGAATGAAACTTTTGCAACATGGGGCTTGCTTTCATCAGTCTCAATTCCTGAGTTATCACCATCACTTCTGAGGCTTTATTTTAACTTCTTCAAAGACTTTTAAAAACAAGATAGATGGGCTGGCCCCATGGCGTAGCGGTTAAGCGCATGCGCTGCGCTACTGGTGGCCCAGGTTCGGATCCTGGGCGCGCACCAACGCACCGCTTCTCCGGCCATGCTGAGGCCGTGTCCCACATACAGCAACTAGAAGGATGTGCAACTATGACATACAGCTATCTGCTGGGGCTTTGGGGAAGAAAAAAAGGAGGAGGATTGGCAATAGATGTTAGCTCAGAGGCGGTCTTCCTCAGCAAAAAGAGGAGGATTAGCATGGATGTTAGCTCAGGGCTGATCT